GTGTGCAGTGAAATTTTACTGAGGAAAGTTTCCTGAACCTGGTAAGGGGCGTAACATTTCTGTCACACGGTTGAGGTATTCGGCCAATCACAACACACTAGATAGCCGGCCAATCAGAGCACACCGCGCTTTTCAGAACAATGAGCTTTGTAAAAATCGACACGTTTCAGAAAGGCTGGGCATAGAGGAGCAACAATAATGTACAGTATGTGGAAAATAATGTTTGTTTGTTTGTTTTTTTTACCTTAAACCGCGTAAACATTGCATTACACCAAATACAAAAAATAATGTTCTTTTTAGCAACGTCATATGACCCCTTTAAAACAAGACAAGAGACTAAGTATTTTCAGAGAAATCTAATAAAACTTAGTGAAGTAGTGAAACAAGACAAAAATTAAATAAATAAGAATAGAATGTGAAATAGACAAACTGTTAAAAAAAATCAACCAGAATGGCATATTAAAATTTTGCTAGAAGCACTAGGCTCATCTGCAGCATAAATGGCAATGTAAGTGCAGGCAGTGATGTATTTCATGTGCTGTTCCTCTACCCTTGTGCCTCTACACTTCTATTTAAAGCAAGCAGAATTGGCTTGACATAGATAAGTTCTTCTTTGCTCGAAAATAAATGGTCATGTTGCGGAATGAGCCAATGAAGACTTTTAAAGATGGCAGTGTAATCACAGTAATTAGAATCGAGGTGGGAGGACGGAGCACTCAGGAGCCAAGATGAAAGATCCACCGCTGCTGTAGAACAATATGAAACGGTGTGCATTATGCCCACTTTTTGTTTACATTTTTGCAATGAAAGAACAATTCCAAACCATCTCATCCATTTCCCAGAAATGCATTTTGACGGAAGGTTAAAACTTGAACTTGACATCGAGGAGAGAGTGAGATGGAGAAGGAGTTTTCAGAGACTGGCAGACAGGAGGAGGATAGGGGGAGGAAGTCGATGAAGTCAGATAACAGATTCAGAGAGACAGAAGTAGCTAGAGTGAGATAATCTCTATAAAATCAGCTCTGGGAAATGTAATGGAAGTTGGACCGATCTAGGGACAGGACGTGTCTAGTGTAATGCACTTATGATGTCAGGGCGAGTAATGAGCCACACGACATCAAGGAAATGAGGCTTTGATAATGTCTGCATTCCCAGAACTCAGGCAATGCCTATACTTCTTTGGAAAGAAAAGAGGCATGGGAAAGAAGTGAGAGAGAGAACTTCCCGCAATACATGTGGTTCAATCTATGTGAAAGAATGCTTGCAGAGAAGAAATACTTTCTGTACTGCGGAGGAAAAAAAGAAAACTTTTAAACCAAGGTGTTTTTGTGTGTGTGTGGTTTTTGTTTTTTATTGTGTTGTTGTTTTGCTTTTTGTTTAAGTTTTTGTTGTTGCTTTTTGTTAGATTTTTTTCTTGGTTTCAAAAAATATATATATATCTTTAAAAGTTACATTTACTTCAGAAGAAAAAAATTACATGAAATACTAAGACTTGTTTTCAGAGAATCCAACGTTTAGTAAAAATCTGAAAAGGGGTTACATATTTACTTTTCTTTCCCATTTAAAAATGCTTTTTAACATTTTAAACATAAACTGTTTGTAAATCTAGTTGAAGTTTTCTAAAAACAAAACTTGATATCCTCATCTTGTTAAAAAATATGGTATGTTACACAGAAGCAAATTTAACAGTACTGGAACAACAAACAACACGGTGCTGTTTGGCTAAGATAATTAATTATGTAATATTAAGGTTATAAATTAAAACAAAAGAAATGCACTTTCAAAATGTAATGGTAGGCAGCGGTGACTTGGGACTGATCCGATGTCAGCAGGTTTGGGAAGCCAAATAAAGGAATCATTAGCATGTTGATCTCAATATGCCAGATGGGAACCTTTGGGACTGTGAAGGCCTGTTTTCACTATTCATTTACAGTCTGTTACTTATCTAACTGTTGGAAGTGACCGTATTTGTGCCTGTTTGTGGGTAGGGGGCAAAACAGAAACGAAGAGTCACTAAGAAATACAATAATGAATGCTTAGGCCTAAAAAAATTGAACAGGTGAGGCTGTGCTCTGAGATAACAGGGTTGAGTAAGTTAGACAGGCTGTAAATGTGAGACACAGATATCCTGCACACAGGCTGATTCTCCACCACAGCTTCAGCATGGAGTGCTCGAGCAGATGCTCACAGACGGTTGATCACAGTGAGAGAATGAGAGAGATGTGTGATATGGAGATCTTGCTTGATGAATGTGAGAATCTCAGAGGAAATGTCAGTGAATGCTCCAGTGACTCAGTATGTTATCGCTCTTTCTTTTTTTCTCTAGTTTTCTATCTCTCTCTTTGTTTCTATCTGTCAGATTGTCTCTCTCTACACTGTTTCTCCTTTTTCTTAATGCCATTCTGGCTCTTCTGTCTTACACACACACACACGCGCACACACACACACGCACAAACATGCACACACACATGCACACACACACACACACACACACAAACAACTGATAGAAAATATGGTCCCACTTTATATTAAGTGGCCTTAACTACTATGTACTTACATCAAATAAGTAAGTACAATTTACTTACAGTGTTCATACTATATTGCAAAACACTTTTGCTGCTATTGAGGTGGGATACGGGTAAGGTTAGGGACAGGTTTAGTGGTTTGGGTAGGTTTAAGGGTGGGTTAAGGTTTAAGGGATGGGTCAATAGTGTAATTATAAATGTAATTACAGAAATTAATTACAGATGTAATTACATGCAGGTATATTTTAAAATATAAGTACAATGTAAAAACATGTATGTACACAATAAGTGCATTGTACCAAATGATTCATTTAAATGTAAGTACATAGTAGTTAAGTAGTAAAGTAGTTCAAATATTTTTCAGCTGCTTACTCGTTCAATCCCCCCCCCTCCTCTCTAAAATATTTTGAATGCTCACCTATATGACCATTTTTTTCATCACAGAAGCAATTTTCTCTGAAAACTAGTGTCATTTTTCTCAAGCTTTTAACGTTTAGTAATAAAATAAATATTTTAAGTCTTTAGTCTTATGATTTCCTTAGATCTCTTTATTTTTTAGGTTTACTAACATCAAATATCATTGGTTTCGTGACGTTGTGAGGTCTGACTTTGATTTTAAAATATACTTACATAAATATATTTTTGATAATTTGTAGTTATTTATATTTCCTATTTTATTTGTCAATTTTATTTATATTTTATATATATAAAATAATTTGTAAAATATTTATATTGTCCAAAATCATGTTTTAAAATAACATTTTGATCAATGATTTAAGAGTGAACAAAGCCTTCTAGTTCCCTTTACTACATGCAGCAAAAAAAAAAGGTTCTCAGAAACGTCTCGCAGATCATGATGTTTGTTCACATGACTTGCAAGAACTAATAATGAGGTTTGAGGTTTGTGCCGCCATATTTGATGTAGTCTGCCTATACTGCAAAAATATATATTTTCAGATGTATTTTTAAATATATTTGAACATATACAAAACATGAACAAAAAAGATTGATTTTACAGTATATTTTCATGAATACATTTTCTAAATATTTTAGTTATTTATATTTCCTCATATATTTTTTGTCCTTTTGTATATTTTGTATATAAAATATTTTAAAATGTTTATATTGTCCAAAATTGTGTCGCTTCACGAATGGACCTTGTTGACTTTCATAATTTGGACAAGATATTTTGTGTTCTGCAGAAGAATGAAAATCTTACGAATTTGGAATGACATGAGGGTGAGTAAATGATGACAGAAGAAGAAGTTCAGTAGTATACATTAGAGATCATAAATAATGCGCAAACTATTCCTTTAACTGATTATTTGTAGTGTACATTCACCCTGAATGTTAAATTATGGTGTATACAGTTTATTGTACCCCCAGCAGGAAGCTCTTCTCTATTTTATCCGATTTTACCATTTTATGAAATGGTGGTTTTAGATTTGCTCAGACTAAGACTTAAAATCATGCAGCAGAAACCTGACTTTCTTATGCGCTTTGCAAACAGAGGTCTTTCACAGTAAAGCCAGCCATTATGCAGTGACTGAACTTATCCTTTTTTCCCTTATCATCCTTTTACAACAAAGCTTGTGTTGCTTGTCTGATTTCCTTCTGACACTAGACTTGAATAAGAGTGTGTGTGTGTGTGTGTGTGTGAGAGAGAGAGAGAGAGAGAGAGAGATGCCTTGGCTGGTAGTTGAGACCTTTAAGAATTAACTGCAGAAATCAATATCTGCAGAATGCTACCCTGTAAACTCTCTCCTTACATGCCAATAATGCCAGAGCAGCTAGCAGGCAGGTTGTTTGCAGTGCTTAGGAGAGTAAACAGATGGTTTCCTCTGCTGTCTGTTTTATTGTGTACTGTACAGGTGTACTGTGCTGTTTTATGCACTCAGATTGTAATTGAGAGCAAAGGCTGTCATCTGTTCCTCTCTTTTGTTTTATGTTATGATATATTGAATGACAACAGGTGGCAAACATCCCACTGTAATGCTTCAACATAAATCATCTGCAGATAAACCTCTCAGTCTCATGCCAAGTCTGCTGTATTTACATGGGAAAGTTAAAGGAATAGTTCATCCCAAATTGAAAATTTGCTGAAAATGTACTCACTCTCAGGCCATCCAAGATGTAGATGGGTTTGCTTCTTCATTGGAAAGGATTTGGAGACATTTTGGAGTCAGAATGAGAGTTCAAACAGCTGATAAAAACATCACAATAATCCACAAGTAATCCACACAACGCTGCATGTTGTAAGGAACAAATCCATCATTAAGATGTTTTTAACTTCAGCTAAAATACATGTCCTCCATCCATTATATTGCTTTCTCCAGTGAAAAAGTAATCTTGTCTGAATCAGGAGAGCTTTAAGGCTGCTCTGTAAAGATGCATTGCTGCATAAATGCAGCTGTGTCTCAAATACAGCATTTGTGCAGCATTTTATGCCCTGTCATGCAACTTATATTTAAAAAAAAAAAAAATTATTTACAATTTGATATTTATTACATTTTATTTATATTTAAAATGCTTTTTCAATTTCATAGCATTTTTCAGCCATGTTGCTTCAGATGCAGCTTTTGTGCACATAAATGATTGATTGATTGTTGATTGACTGATTAAGATTAATCAGAAGATCAAGTTGTTATTTTCATTAAAAATTATGAGGTAAAAAATGAAACATGCATGAATAGTTCACAATAAGATCAATAACATGCAGTTAGAAAATATATAGGGTCACAGCAGTCACAGAATTCATGGAATGCACATTATTTACAATACATTTTTATGATAGTTAGTTTTACACATTTTACAATGTTTACTCCAGTTCCACAGGTTTAGAATCTGTCTCTGCCTACTTAATTAACAATGTGATGTATATCTTTACATCTATCAATATCTTCACATATCTCTGTACAACACAGTGTTAGTATCTTTTATACTGCAGTAGATCAAACGACATGGGGTTTGCATGAAAACAACAGTTGTGATATGCCACCTAACCTAGTTGTGTACTAGTAACGACAGGAAATTAGTGGGATGTGAGTGAATAGGTGTCAAGCTTTCAGGTGAAGGGACTGTTTCTTAGAGGGTGGTTTGGAAAGCTTGTCTTTGTGTCTGAAATGTCCTGAAGGGAATAAAGAGAGCCAGTCCGTCACACAGGGCTTGTAGATGCCTCAAGACCTATTAGTCGTTGGTGAATACTGGAATGGACAGACACACAAAAGAGTGGAAGCCTAAATTTCATTCTTACTGTGAGAATGAGACCAAAACATAGTCATCTCACAGGCACTGCATGGGATAAAGCACTACTAGAAGAATTCCAACACTGCAACATGCTTACCTCTGATCTAGCTTCTCTGCCTCAAACACGTATCATACAGTTTCAGATGAGCTGGACTCTGCAGGCCGGAGAGGGTCGATCTATTCAACTTGAAGACACGCTCAATATTCTGTAGGATCTATGATGGATCATTTGGGCTGCAAATCAATGACATGGCCAACACCTATTGATCGCAATGTTAGTTTTTGAGCGTGTAGACTTCACTTACGTCCCAAGTAGCAAACTATCTGGAAAATAGCTTTATACTCTTTTGGAAGTCAAAATACATTGCCACTAAACAGCAGCTGTTGCACAGCAGTGTTTGCGGTGAAGTTCAGCACCAAGGACAGCAGATTCTCTCAAGCCTTTCCTGTTGTTATAAGTGCATCCACAAGTAAAACTTGAAGTTAAAAAAAAACTTTTTTTTTTTTATTGAATCTATTGACCATGTTACAATGGATCCCCCCTTGAGGAAAATGTTTTACTTGAGTCAAGTCAGCACGGTTCTACAAATATAAGTAAACACAACCATCTCGTAGACATTTCGAGTACCTTTTCCACATATAAATGTTTCTATCGCTTCAAAAAGAAACTCGTTTGTTTTTAGCCAAGTTTCCTATCAGATTTTACTAACGTACACCTTTAAATGGCGCGAGCCTCGCAGTAAAATGAGGCGGGGTCGCGCGGCTCGTGTGTGAAAATCTCGTGATTGTCCAACAGAGTCTCTGAGCGCGCGGCTCTCTGTAACTGCAAGCGAGCACAGAACGAGGCAAGAGCACGCGGGTAAAACATCCTCACAGGACCGCGAAAAAACGTTATTTAGCGGCGTTGACCAAACGTATAGAGCCTGTTGGGAATGTAATGTGGATTATTCCGGTTTGGGATATTTTTTACGAAAACTGAGGTTAGTCTGTTTCTTTTTTTGGTACGGAATGAATGAAAGCTCACCGGGATGTTAAAGTTCATCGCTTACTTCGAGTATTTACACTTAGTTGGTTTGTTTTTACGTTGTAAATCACGGTTGTTGTTGAATTTTACTTTTATTTCTGTGAACGAGGCGTGTTGCACTGAATCGAAATAAATGGCATTCGCGTTGTTTCGCGGAGAAGCGCGATAAAAATACGAAACTACATCATCATTCAGACCAACAAGAAACTAAAAGACACTTTGTCTAACTTTAAAAATGCGTTTAATAGTATTTATTCTTCAAGAATATATGGTCAAATTCTATACAGAGCATAGTGTGGAAACTGTGTATTGCGTAAAAATAAGTGTGTATTGCCTGTTTTTTTTTGTCTGCTGCCTAAAATATCACAGAATATTTCGTTTATCTTCAATAAGTTAGACAACATAGGCCTCTGTTCTAGTAGCTAGTAATCACGAAAAAAACACGCCCTTTCCTCCGTAAACATGTAACAAACAATTTCGCGCTTTGCTCGCAGGAGACCTGTGTTATTCTTAATCTGTAAAAGTAGCTGTGAATAATGAATGAGTTCTCAGGTGTCTGTGGAGCCCATGATCAACTGCCACTCAGGATTAACCACGCATGCCCACTACAGGTCCATCCTCATGAATGCTACTAGACATGGACTGGTCAAATAGCCTACAAGAACGCATATCCATGTTCCCATTTCTTTTTAGAGCATGTATGAAAATGTATTATACATTTGCTATGAATTTATTTGGCTAAAATTTATTTTTAGGATGCACACATGTGGTGTACTTAGCCTAATACATTTTACTATTATGATCCGTTAGTTTAGCACTTTATTCTGGGATTTATTAGACTAAATGTGCAGGAAAATTTAAGCAGAGTAATTTAAAAAAAATGTATTTATTTAAAAATATATATAAATAGTTTAAGGTTGGCTATTAACACGTTGCAGTGATTTAAAAATATTTACGAACCCTTATAAATTATTCGATATAAATATCTGTCTTGATGTCACAATAAGCGAAAGGTTAGATTTTTAAAAACTGATTTTTGGCACGGTTTCACACCTAACATGCACAGTCAGCTTTTTTCGTCTCGCTTTGAAGTGCTCAAGTGAGTACAGTGCATTATTAGAATATCTTAATTCGTTCTCATCAATTTGTAGTGGCTCATTTAGATCTCCTGGAATTTAATAGACTTTGGTAATTCACTATAACACACACTCGCGCGCTCACACACTAATTTTAAAGGTAGGCTATTCAGGCTTGTGCTTTTTATTACATTCCACGTTTTCGTCAAAATAATAATTGGGCTACACCCACTGTATTTGTGTCTTAATATTTTTGCCGTAATGTTAACACATCCACCCAGGCAGTATTGTATGTCCTGAAATTGTCGGGGTAGATAATATTTCCTGATCTCGGCCTTGTCACACGCTTTCATCGACGATTTTTTTTCACAGCTGATATAAATGAAAATGAACACGTATGTCTGAATTAAAATAATATATCATATATTTATCCGAGCGTGTTTTATTTTTCCATGACGCTGATGTATAATTTCACCCTGTATTGTTTTGTGACCTCTTTTGTGTGAAATAGTAATGCACTGTCTAATGTAAATCATTTTGTCGGTGTGTTTATACATGTGCACATTTATCCGTGCCTTATTTTGAGGGATTGAATTGTGCACTAATAATTTGGATCAAAAGCGACATTTCATTGTATTAGAGCACATTTTGTGTGTATATTGTTTACCATTTTAGACGGGTGAAACGAAGCGAAATGCTGTTTTAAAAACGAAATATTGGTGGACAAAAACCTTTCAAATTTAATCATCCATATTAACGATTTTTTTTGCTAAAAATATTACTCTCAGTATAATTATGTACATCTATTTAAAATGTATTAAATGTTAAAATTAAAATTAAAACGTTAGCTAATATTAAAAGAAAAGGACGTTTACATTTATATTGTTTCGTTTCCCTGTATTTTTTGTTCTCACGGGTGTTGGTTATAATCTCCATTTACATATCAAGCCAAGACAGCTAAATGATCTTAATGTAACTGAGGTATTTTTCCATAGAAATAAACAAATTAGAATAATTCAGACTGATAATTCTAAAACGGAAAATACACATATATGCACATATAGTGTATTATGTTAAATGAACACTATGTAAAATATGAAATATATCTTTGTTTTGTTTACCGAATATATAAGTGTTTTTCAAGCAACATAAATTCATTTCCTACTTTTGTAACAAATATCGTTCTTCCGCGTTTTGGTTATTATAATTTTTTTGTAATTCTTTAAGATCGCCTTTTTGTCTGTGTCGCATTGAAGAATATTTCCTATTGGCGTTGTGTAATGCTCAGTTCCAAAACAATCATCGAATGTGCTCTGCCTTTCTAATACACCGCAGTGTGACGTGATCTTTCTGTCTTGATCAGAGCCCTATATAATGCACACACTCCACACCTTTACCACAGTGAAATTTGGTCATAAATCATTACTAATCCTATGGTTCTGATTATGATGAGTATTATAGTGAATCATTCCACAAGGATGGTGTGTTTTGGCAAGGTGAAATAATGCCTTAAACGACTGCTGCAGAGACGCTCCTGCTTTATTCTGCTCATAAGTTGCTGTTCCTCTGCAGTGGGTTGTTTAGGGGGTTGCTGGTGGCACCCGTGCCCACTCTGGGTCACGGGGGGAAGCTACATGAGGCCAAGTAGGAGCCTCACGCCTCCCATTCGCCGGCTGGCAGCCCAGGAGGAGAGCACCGGATGCTGATGTCATCCATTTTGGCCCAGCTCTACCTCACCCACACCTCCGCTCCACCATGCGGATACTCGACGGCAACCGTGTCACGTACAGAGCCGAGCTCGCTGAAATAGTGTGCGCCTCCTCCCAAAGCCACCATGATATCATCGGGGCGCACTGGAGGACATTTTGTCGCAGCTCTTCTGGTGTAATGGCAGAGCGTAATTGAGGCACCTGTGGTAAAACCCAGCTTTGTGTGTCTGATGAATGGTTGGGCCTGCTGTCATTATCATGCCCCCCTTCCTCCATTACACCACCTTCTCCTACTCGCCAACTTTTGAAGTGGGATCCAAATGCAGGGGTTTTATTTTGTGGCGTCGTGTGCCGTTCCCAGTGGGGTGTGTCAATCACATATCAATGAGGACAATGATGTGCTCAGTTTAGCCTTTTCACCTGTCTCCTCCTCTTCACAAGCCCTCGCTCGACAAAAAAAAAGAAAAAGAGAAAGCACACATGCATATTTCGAGGTGTGGGCGTGTGCCAACGTGGGGTATCTGTTACAAGCATGCAGTCTCTTGCTCTTTTTTTTTTCCCTCTTCAGCTGCAGCAGGCAGAGCTCTGATGGCATGCATTGTGTTTCGGGCTCGGCTGAATCGCGTGGGCTGCTGGCAGTATTGTCCTGCCGTACCTGCTGCCTACGCCTCTGGCAAGGACACTGGCAATATTAGATGTCTATTAGGTTACACCTTGCATGTTGCCATGTAATTGGAGCCTATTCGTTTATGCACATTGGGGACACATGTTATTAAGAGGAGCCGGAGCTGCGTTTTGCCTTCACAAAAGTCCTACTAATCTGTGCTGGTTCAAGGCCAAACGTCAGCTCAGCATGGGAAGCTTCTCTCATATTTGTAGAACAAAACAGAACATTTTGTTTGTGCTTGAGGATGTGTAAAAAAAACTAATTATTTTAATACATAAAATAAACATTTTCTTTGCATTTTTACTGCATCTTGTTATGCAGCAGCAGCATTCCTTTAAAAATAAAATATAATAAATAATCGTTTCTTCATGCAACACGTTTTTTTAAATGTTAGCAAAATATTATAGGTGTTTAGATGACTATGGTGCTGGAAATGTGGAGTATATGTCATGGGAAAGTGTAGACATGCATATTATTGTTTTGCATTGTGCATCCTGCAGAAAGCCTTTTAAAATCCCACATCATCAGATAAACATGGACTCACTACAACAGAATGATAGTTGGAGCTGCCATGTGAATAATGCTGGTAATTTAAACAGAAACTTTTAATTAGGTTTTATCAGGAGTTGCATGAGACATTTAAATGCAGCTTTTCATGATTATAATTGTGAAAGTGTACTGAATTGTTTTGTTAAATTATATATTTTTATGCTTTTGTGTTTTATGCATAAAAAAAATCACACACTAGATTGACTGAGACATCCGTGGATTCATTTGTAATTTGATGCTTTTCTATTTTGACAGCTATTGTGCGCTAGACAGGGCAGAGTAACCCTATGGACTACATTACCCACAAGGCATCATGCAGTCTGTGCTGGTTTCCCTAAATACAGAAAGAGTCCGACCTGGAGGACCTGTCTGGACGATTGAGGTCTGAGGAGATACCAGAAGAAAACAACACCTCAGCAGACACACCACACCTCATCTGCTCGTTTCTCAAGTCGATCCATTCCAGGAAACGTGGAAGAAGTACTTTTATTGTCGCCTGACAGAGATTGGATTGTTGTGCAATGTCATTGGCCTTATGACTGTTATTTAAGACTGTTCTCCTCCTAACTCCCTCTCCTCTTTTAGGATATTTTTTGTTTGTCGCTGCGTTGACGATCTCACCTCTTCTCTGGTATCTCTGGGCATATACTGTTGGATGTACTTTGGATATACTGACCTTTGAACCAAAGCTAATTCAATGATTTCCTTCTGTTCAGGATAATAACCCCAAATCTCCAGCACTTTTACAATGAATTTCTTCAGATTCCCAGTCCAGTTGCAGCTGCTGATCAGTACTGTTCTTGGTCCCTGCTTGGGCCTGGAGTTTACAGGGTCGCAAGGCCAATGGGCACGCTATCTCCGCTGGGATGCCAGCACCAGAAGTGACCTCAGCTTCCAGTTCAAAACAGACGTGCCCACTGCCTTAATCCTGTACTTTGACGATGGCGGCTTCTGCGACTTCCTGCAACTCATGGTGGTCGAAGGGAAGCTCCAGTTGCAGTTCAGCATTGATTGCGCCGAGACCACAGTTGTATTGGACAAGCAAGTCAATGACAGCAGCTGGCATTCTGCCACCCTGAGCAGGTACAATCTGAGAACTGTGCTGGTTCTGGATGGAGTGAGCAAATCGAGCGAGGTGCGGCCACAGAGGCAGTACATGAAGATTGTTAGTGACCTCTTCCTGGGTGGAGTCCCTCAAGATATTCGTATTTCTGTGCTCACTCTCCCGACAGTGAAGGATCTTCCAGCGTTTAAGGGAATTATCAGGGAACTGAAGTACAATAACAAGGAACCTATTCTACTAAGTAGCCAGAGGGTTCGCATGGACATAGAGGGGATCTGCATGGAGAACCCATGCGAGAATGGAGGAACGTGCTCTGTTGTGGATGGGGAACCACTTTGTGATTGTTCTAAGACGGAATATGTGGGCCGATTCTGCAATGAAGGTAAAACGGTTTATTATAAAATATTATTTATTATAAAAGTCTTGATGACTTTGTAATGTGTATACAATGTACATTTTTTTTCCCCCAAACGTTTATTGGCACCCATCTAATTCTACTCTAAATTGTCAGTGTTAACTGCTGAAATGTGAATAATGTTTCCCAGAATCCTTCATGCCACTGAAGTTTGACTCTAAGGTCCAGGTTAATGGCGTCTCTTAGCTTGTCTACAGAAAGCTGCCCTGTTTTGTGCATTGGCAGGCGTTTTGTGCTGGAAATTTCTCAATCAGCTTCATAAGACCCTCCTCTATTCCCCCATCGCTTCTTACGGTCAATTGAAAGTGAATGCACTACTAGCAAAGCCTGCTTTTTACCTCTGTAAAGCATAAAAGCTGTTTGTCTCTGGCAAGCGTTTGTGTGTGTGTGTGTGTTAATCGTGCCCGGCTGAGGAGGTGGGGTGTTAGGATGTTAAGGTGCCTTTTCAGATCCCTTGGTTGTTTTTCTGAAGTGGCCATTTTAGTTTCTCTGGGGATTTGAGGAGGCCATTTCACAGCTCTGGGTTTTGTTGTTGCACCTCTTCAACAGAGAATGAATCATAGACGGGGGATAATTGCCAATTTTAAACATGTCAATTGCAATTCTTTATAGCGACATTACTAGTTTTCCTAGAAAGAAAATTTTATGACCCTGGTTACTGAAATGTGCTCATTCATATACAGATCTGCTGGTTTGCGCACATTTATTTTGAAAGTATAATCATAACTAAAATAATTTTGTTATACCCCAGAAGAAAATCACAACTTTGAGTTCTTTCCCATTAAACATGTTTTAGATCCTGGTAGATGATCCTGATGAATGAAAGGTACAACATGTGTTTTTATATATATATGTTTCTCTGCTTCTTTTGATAATTTTTGCTTTAAATATATCCACTTATATGCTTTATTGTAACAAAAACAATAAGGGTTATCTTTACCTGATAAATAATAAATAATGAATTTTAATGAACAAGAAAACAATTACAGAAACTAATGTGCATATATCCTGTCTTGATTGCACCTAAACTTTCCCCCCCTTTTGACTGGAGTGTTTAAGCTGGGTGATTGATTGGTGATCAGTGCTCAGAGCCCTTTGAGTTGTTACTCTCATTTTAGACACAACCTCTCCTGTGATTCTCTCCTTAATTACACAATTACTGAATGTGATTAAAAGGTTAAAGCCAGGATGCTATCTGTGTACTCATGTATTTTATACAGAAGTGAATGTGTATGCATGTACAGCCTGTTTCAGAGCGCAAGAAAGTGAAAATGAGAGAAAGAGGGATGTGTAGAAGACTGGGCACTAGGGTTAGATTTATTGGTTGTAAAGTGAACAGAGTTTTGGGCTTGATTTACAGCCGTTGTTCCTCTCCATCTTGTTTGGCTGACTGGGTCCTGCAGTCCACTGATAGGGGCTAAAGCCAGACGTAAAAGCAGCTTTGATGGCTTTGAATGCTGGGAATCAGTTCAGCCAATCATAAAAGAATAAATAAAACGTTTTTGGAGGCCATTTATACTGGTGCACAGGGGCAGCCTGAACTTAAAGGCACTGTAAAACTACAGCTGAACTTTCTCCGCTGGCGTCTCTTACAAATCCAAATTAAAACCAGTATTGTGAAATGACACATTAATGGGTGACATCAGTGTTTGATAACAGCTTTACAAAAATCCACTGAGCAATCTTAATTCCATCTTAATCTTGTGTCTTCAGGCTTTTGAAACATCTGTACGTGGGTAATAAATATCAGGTCGGAGCCATATGGCAAGCTGGTCTGAAGTGTTAAGCATTAGCCTTACGTACGTTTGACTGAATCCAATTGCCATAGCAGCGGCAACAACAATCTGACACTCCTCTTGATGGCCAGATGGCTAAAATGGCCTCAGAACTGTTTTGCGTTACCGTGGCGTATGTTCCTCGCTCTGTGAAAGTCGTGATAGCAACGGCGCTACATCATTTGCGAAAACGCGTAATCTTTTGGCGGATTAGAATAATAAACATTTGGCAGCCAAACAAACACTCAATCTGTCTTCCCATGCGGATGGTCTCTGAATTGGTACGCTGAGGTTTATGTTTAAGCCAGCCACTCTTTACAAATCTCCTCTTGTTTTTTAAAGGGGGGGTACAATGCTGTTTCATGCATTCAGAGTTGTTTACACTGTTAAAGAGTTGGATTCTCATGCTAAGCATGGACAAAATTTTTCAGAGAGTTTTTTTTTTCGATCGTGGCTCTTCATGACGTAGATGAGGGTGGAACTCCTTATATGGGCATTTCTCCCGGAAGAGCGCGCCCGCGCACACATCGACCAGAACGAGAGCAAGAGTGCGCCCATCAACGCGCTTCATTCAGCAGCGCTGCACGGGACTCGCTCTGGAAGAATGTCTCTAAAGAAGTGTGTTTTTGTTTGTAAGGGAAAGATAACTTTGTTAAGCTTCCTAAAGAACCCAGCGTTATGTAAACAGTGGATGCAGTTTGTTTTTCCGGAGCAGCAATGCAGTTTCACAAGCGTGTTTGTTGACTAACATTTTATAAACAAGGCCCAGTTCGACACTGGATTAGCACATCCTTTGATACTGAAGGATGGAGCGGTCCCAGCTATAAAAGATACCGGTCATGATTCAGAACTGCAGACGGTAAGTGAAACTGCATCAAATGTCTGTGTTTTGTAGGCAGTCGGAGCTCAAGTGCTCGTCAATCTTTAGCTCCGCCCACAGTGCGCCTCCAGGAGCTCGGCTTTTTCCGGAGAGAATCGTAAAGCTGTATCTTTCTTTTATAAATATGATAAAACTAAAGACTTTTTGGAGATATGAAGGATGCAGTACTACTCTATAGGTACTCAAGATTAACATGTGATTGGGTGAAACTGTGTGTGTTATGTCCCCTTTAATGAAAACACAGCAAATTTAAAAGTGTATTACGAGGATATATAGAACTTAGAGTTGTTTTTTAAGGATAAGACACTAAACCTTTTCTAGTTATGGTTAATTAATGTTTGGAATTTTTGTATATGAGACCTGTTCTAAGTAATTGAATTTAACATTTTCACTTTTTGAACAAAATTGTTCAGAAAATGCAATTTAGTATTATGGTTAATAATTTAACACATTTTAGAAAATGATTTCTAAATGTGTTGAGAAACATATTATATTCACTTGACTCCTTATTGCAGGGATCATTACAATTTGTTGTGGATCTAGATTAAATTAGTAAAACACTCTTCACTTGTTGCTGTTGAGAATTTAAGGAAAAGATCTTCTGATGTGCCACAAATAAACATTAATTTCTGATTCACCACTGTTTCTGAGAAACTAGGTCATCGTAGAAGGCTGACAGTGCATGTAGACATTCATATTCCAGCCAGAACTTCAGTACAGGTCAACTCAAGAGCTGAACGCATCAATCGAGTCACCATGGCTCTCACATCCCGAGTGTAACTCAGCATTCCCCACTCTCCAATCACATCCTAATACTTTCCACACCAGGTTAATGCATCTCATCAGATGACTTAATGTCCTGTACCAGTCTTTAACAAGCACGGCAGACAGACACTCACTTACACATTGGAACATGTCCCGAAAATGAGTGACCATGAGAGACAACATATTGCATTTTCAGCCAGTACAGACATCAACACATACAGGACTAAATTAATGTCTAATGTAGCTATAATTGCTCAGCACTAAAAGCATTTCATGGAGGCAGACCCCATCAGGATTCCCTTAATATCCTGTATTAGATGCCGTTTGTGTGCACTGGCAACAGATAAATTGGTTAATTTGGCCTGTCGGTGTCTGGTACTAAAAAATCTACAGTAAAATCTGCAATTCTTTGGAGTCATATGAAATAATTTATATAATAATTTGAATAATCTCAAAGTTAGCTAAATATGAATAAATTAAAAATATGTATACCTAATAATAGTTATGTCTATGAATATTTTAAAATATCTATGTATGTGTGTATATATGTATATATATGCAAGCATATGCATATATTTGCACATGCACATTTACAATTTATAAAAAAAATAATCTGTAACACTTCAGGAACATGTGTTTAGTGAAGTGAAGTGAAGTGACATGTGGCCAAGTATGGTGACCCATACTAGGAATTAGTGCTCTGCATTTATCCCATTCAAAGTGCACACACACAGCAGTGAACACACACCCACCGTGAACACACACCCGGAGCAGTGGGCAGCCATTTTTTGCTGCGGCGCCCGGGGAGCAGTTGGGGGTTCAGTGCCTTGCTCAAGGGCACCTCAGTCGTGGTATTGAAGGTGGGAGAGAGCGCTGTACATTCACTCCCCCCACCTACAATTCCTGCCTGACCTGAGACTCGAACCCGCAACTTTTGGGTTACGAGTCTGACTCTCTAACCATTAGGTTACCACATTAGGACCACGACTTCCCCCGTTTAAACCCCGCTCTACTATTAAAACTAGAGTATTTACTCAATCTAAAGGGTTTTACAATAACCTTCAAAAATGTATATATGTATATTTTATATGTATGTATATGTATATGTATATGTCTTATTTTTTTTTTTGTCAAATAAATAAATAACTTTTTTAAAGCCTAAATGCTACATAATGGCTGTATTTTAAGAGATTTTTTTTTTTGCCGTGTTTAACAGCTTAAGTTGAACACAATAAAAGCACCACTCCTAATTTATATCAAAGCTTGATAATTGCTGTCCTCACAAATCGAGTAGTTGGATGTTCGGATGATCATGAACCATCCCTAGCCAAAACAGATTAGAAAAATAGTAGATTAGCTGTTATTCATCACACAGAGCATTGCAATGCCCGTTTATCAGTGTTGGATGCCCTTTGGTTTGGGAGACGACCAGAGTGCGTTAATGAAATAAGTCAGCCCAGTGCTTCAGTGCGAAAGGCGGCCTGTGACACAAAGAGAGAGAGAGAGAGAGAGAGAGAGCGTGTCTACAATGAGAGTAAACGCTACCAGGCTCTGAGTATGGAACAGTGCTTTTGACAAACATCAGCGTGCCGTAAATCCACAACCCTCTCTAAAGGGAGCAGGTTCTGTTGCCTGTTTGGATTTATGACCCAGGCGTGGATGTGGGCTCTGGGAGTGTGTGTAAGTCTTGGAAGATGAACTAAACTTCTTAGATGTTGGTGTGCCATGGTGTTCATACACCACAGATCTGATCCCCCTCCTCATTTCCTAGGGAGAAGAGGGAGTGGATGGATGGATGCAAGGGGCATTTTAAGGGTTTCTGTGTACATGCACAGGGCAGATGTCTGCTCGGTGCATGCTGGCAGGTGTGTCAGAGTTTGCATGATAGTTTTCATGCAAAGGAAATATGAGTGGGCTCTAATGGCTGCAATGTTTCTCTCCTCTTTTTTTTTTCTTTTTTCCATTTTGTTGTCTTTGCTGCAACACCATCAGAGGCCAACAGCATCCCAGGTGAGTTGATAATATCCTTAAGGCTGTATTGAAGCGGTCTTTTACGGGCAGTGAAAGCGTTAATGGTGTAGAGTACACAAGTATTCAAATATACAGGAACATAAACAGATATTTTCAAATATAACAATCTCAGAATTATCATAATAAAAAATACTTAAAGTTGTGATGAAGCAGAAGTAGGGATAGATATAAAAAAATGAAAATGAAAGAACTGTTCACAATAAGATCTATAATATGCATTTGGAAAAATTAAATTTGACTTTAATCACTACATTAATCATTAAAATCAGCATACTTTGTCACATTTATATTAAACAACAAATAAAATGCACCACACTGTAAAAAAGGATTTTTCAAAGTTGTAGACAAAACAAAGATTATTGGAGTATGTTTTACGAGGAAATACCATTTCAGCCTTTCTACTTCAAAATTTCACATTTAATTAAATGTGTTACTTGCCATTTATTTGTAATTAATTGTCAAATTTAGCAGTTTCTAAGTGAAAAAAAAATTCTACACCAGTTTTTGACTATATTTGTCTATAGGTGACTATATTCCTAATATATTTACAACATATCTTATTTAAGTTTACTCTACTACCAAAAATGTATTGAGCCGTCACAATAGGTAAAAAAACAAACAAACTAAAACTCATTTCCAAAATTAAACTTAAAAATTAAGATGTTCATAAACCTTTTCTTCTGCAGAGATGTGATGTCATTGTATGCGCTGATACATACCTAAAGATGTTCTCCTCTTTCTGTCATTTTTTCTGTTTCTCAAAGGATTTGCACACATGATGGCAGATCAAGGTATGCCACACCCCTTCACTTGTATTCACTCTGTTGACGAGATTGATTATATTTTGCATGCCTGAATTGACTGAATTGCTGTGCACTGACTGGGCTAAACTGTAACTCTGAACCTTGAATGCATAGATGTGAACTGTGCTTTGATTGTTTCTTCATATCTCTACATGCTTACCTTCTGTGGATACTCTTTATCTCTCTGTTGCCTTTCATCTCCTTTCTCAAGCCAAGGGCAAAGGTACAGAACCGTTTTCTTCCTCAAGTTCTGCTCTCTTATGTTTGCATTCTTGTTTTTAGCACTTTTTTGCTAATAGCTGCTCACTATGGGTGACTGGATCAAGAGTATAATTAAATGAGAGTTAATTGAAGACAAACACACAGGTATTTTGACTGCAGCCTGAGTGGTCTGAACTGTGGTGTCTGCCTCCCTGGTGGTCTTATACCCAGTAGATATTTGTCTCAGCTGCTAAAATGCTTAAACGGCCCAGTATGACTCAGTCTCATGAGGGTTTGTCTAGCTTGAGACCATGAATGACGCTTTATTTGCCATGCAGTGTTTGTTGTAGTTTGGATCTTGCATGTGGATTTTTGAGAGATGTTGTGTTTGTGTTCAGTCAGGTGCCACAATGACTTCCTCCATGTTTTTTTTAAAGAAAGAAAGTAAGAAAGGACTGTGATATTTCAGTCTGTCAGTACATGTGTGATGTCATGTCATTTCATAGCTGGCTTCTCTAGTGAGGCTTGTAGATGGACCCGATTTAGCCTTGACTTGCTGCTGGGCTGAGCATCCCTGTGGAACGCTGTTGTACCACATGCCATCCTGCTGTCTCACCTGATCCAATATTTCAGCATGTCTCGGAGTGGCCAAATAACTTCATTCTTCAATAGTCAAGACCTGGAATTGGCTTGATTCTTTGCAGGACCTCAGTGCATCCACCAATGTGCAATCACACACAGTATAGCTGAATTATTTAAGTTCTCAGGTTTTCAGGGTGATTGCCAAATGTTTCTCTTTGCTTGGAGAGTCTCCCTTTCCCCCCACAATAGAGATTTTAGTGCAGACCTGAGTACTTTTAGCTTCAGATTTGTTTTGTTGGTGCAGCATTCTTTGTGTGAAAACTTGTGAGTATGCTTGTTTTTTAGGGATTGATCAGTTGCTAATGTGCGATTATGAAAACGTAATAAATGCAGACTTTTCAACTTTAAAACATTTAATTTTTAATATTTTTATTTTTTAAAACAACATTTTGGGCATATGCACATCAAATTTATTTGTCAGCTGACAAAATGATCAAAATTCCCTTCCCTAGTACAGTTCTGGTGGACTTCAGATTGATTTGCAGTTGGTTTGAAAGCAGTCCATTCTAATAGACCTTAATCAGGTTAGACGCCATATTGAATTTTACGCAGATGAAAACAAGACTGTGAGGAACATACTTGTACATACTGTATGTATGTATGTATGTATGTA